GTAAAGAGACAATTTATTTTTAGCACAAGGATGCCGCAACCATTTTTGGCTGTCAGATTTAAATCGGATGGTAGTATATCATTGATTAAACTCAAAGTTTAAAAAAAAAAATTTAACTTTTTGTGAACCCCAAGCCTTCCAATTTTGACATCTAATTGATAGTCTTAACATCACAAGTCCCACTTTTTAACTCCGTAGAAAAAAACAGGCAGAATACTTTTCTTTGTAGTTTTCCTATGAAAATCTTAGTTACTGAGTTTACTTGAAATTGGGAGGCAAGTGAAAATTGGTAGTATGAAAGGTGGAAACTTTGTTTGATAATTTGTATTTGCACCTGTTTGGTATTAAGAAAGCTGAAAACTATCTCTCTTAATTGTTCTTTATATACTTTATTGCTTAGATGTTGAAATTCATATTTTAAATAAGATTTTTATTTGTTACAACTCATTTAATTGATCTTTTCATAGGTGAGAGGCTTCTATTTTGCCTATAATTCATTTAGATATTAAAATTTGTCTGTCCAAAGTTAAAAAGTAGGTTTTTGGTGAGAGAGAGGAAAAAGAGGTGGGTTATTGGAGAGAGGAAAGCAAGTTTTGGGGAAGGTGATAGAGAGAAAAGAGTAGGCTCTAAGGGAAAGAGAGCGAAAGAGGGGGGTCACATGGGAGAGAAAGACTAGACGAAAGAGAAGGGAGAAAAACAATAGACCTTGGCGTCTACCCAAATTGGGTAGGCAATTTGGGTAGAGCCTTGGGCAATCAAGAGGAGTGAGAGAGGGCAAGAGAAAGAGGATAGAGACAACGGACCCTAAGGTCTACCTAAAAATGGGTAGACCTTGGGCGCTCAAGAGGAACACACTAAATGAAAAATAAAAGGATATGCTTTAATTTTTCCTAAGCCAACGAACTCGTTACATGTAACATTAAGTCAACTTATCATAAAACCCATTATTGTATATAATTTTTACTAATAAATTATTAGCATTCTTTATAAAAGGCATGTTTCTGTATTCCGTTATGTCCTAAATATTGTAGTAATATATTTATGAATAATTGTTTCATGCGGGCTGGACCGTATTTTTACAATATGCGTATAAACCATCTATTTTAAAGATGGATTCAAATAAGTCGTCCATCTTAAAACAATTGTAACTAACGGACCAAATATTTTTTTAATATAATTATTATTTTTAATTTTCAAAATTTATTTATTTTTTCATATTCATGATATCCATGTTAAAGATTATATATTCTCTAAAAGTTAAGATCAAATTATATTTCAAAAATATATTTATTGCCAAGCCCTCATTTCTACAACCGCACCCTATATTTATAACATCATAGGAAACTCTTAGGATGATGATTGACTTTCTGGGAAAGCCCTAAAAGAAACGGGAGAATGCTACAAATAGCAGTAACATTGGGCACGTTCCCCCCTCTTAGGGCAGACCATAAGTTACTCCTTCTATAGAGTTTTACAAGCCATCTTACAATTGGAACCCTTGTTCCTACAACTAGCAAGCAATAAAATACCGGCCCACATTGCTAGTAATACACTACGATTTTACCCATATTTCAAGGTATGCGAGTGTCAAGTAATTCACATTGTTGTTCTCACATCCATTGAGAATTAATACAAAATATGTTGTTTTTTTTCTCTTAATAGGATTATGTCAGAGCTATTGATGGGACTCATGTCCATGCTCGAGTTCTTAGTCGATTGCATAATCATTTCCGAAACAAAAAGGTTTTTTAAGCCAGAATGTTATGGCTGCGGTTGGTTTCGATATGCGCTTCCATTATGTACTTGCAGGTTGGAAAGGATCTGTATCAGATTCTAAAGTCCTATATGACACAATTAGTAATGAAGGCAGTAAAATTGTATTGCCTGAGGGTAACTTCGTTCCTTCTTATGTTTCGTTGCTTTGGTTTGTACGAAATTTCTAGTATAATATTTGGCCTTACAATATACTCATTGCACAAACATGGTACAAAAAAATATTACCTTGTAGATGGTGGGTATCCTACTATTCGTGGTTTCATAAGACCATATCGAAGAGTCCATTACCATCTAAATGAATTTACTTCAGGCCCATGAGCTCCCAAGAATCATTAGGAGTTATTCAACAAGCGGCATTTCATACTTAGAAATGTGGTGGAGAGGACATTTGGACTTTGGAAGGCTAGATTTCCTATATTCAGGAATCAAATGCAGTATCCTTTACGAACACAGGTTGATTGAGTTATTGTATGTGCAATATTGCACAACTACATCATGATGACTCGGGGAGACGATAACAGAAGGGAGTTACGTTTTCGAAAGAGGGTTGAGAGTCAACTCGTAATTGACGGAGATGATGGTTTTTCGCAATTGACTAAGGGGCATGTTGATCATGACGTTGGCATCAATCTACGAGATGCCATAGCGACGCAGTTGTGAGAGACCTACCTAAGTTGCTAGCACTTGTAATTAAACATTGTTCTGCATTTCATATGAAATTTTTATGTTGTGTTCATTCTATTGATGTATGTTTAAACTATTACAGGTTATTGTTGAATGGGGTTTTGTACGTGGTTTTCTTTATGAGTGCATGAATTATGAATGTTGCTTGATATAAATGCATCAGTGTTGAATATAAGTAGTGGTCAAGTTATTGCATGATATTGTTGAATGAGCTGATTTCTTACTACTTGCATTGTGCATGTGTATTTGAATGGGTTGATTTCTTATAGGTTATTGTTTAAGGCTGCATAAATTGTGAATGTTGCTTGATACAGATGCATCAATGCTGAATATATGTAGCGCTAAAGTTATTGTAGGTTATTATTGAATGGGCTGATTTCGTACTGCTTACATTGTGCATGTGTGTTTGAATCGGTTGATTTCTAAGTTCTTGTATTTTGAATTATGTATGTTTAAATTATTACAAGTTAATTTGTTGAATAGGCTGGTTTTGTACATAGTTTTTTTTTTGTGGACACGTCATTTGTGACTGTTGCTTGATACAGATGCATCACTATTGAAGTTATTACATGTTATGATTTATTACATCTCTAGAATGGAAGTGTATAACATATCCAATGGCTACTCATTTGCATATTCCATGGGGTGGTCCTCGTCTAATGAAATAATAAATGGTATAAATTTGGAACCCCCTAGAACAGGATATGATCACAATGGTGGGTCCTACCTCTTCATCACCACTCATAATTTCATCAAATGTGGATTACCCTGATGGAGTATAGTTTTCTGTAGCGCATTGGATATTATACATCCATTTTCTAAAACATCTAATGCCTCCATAGAGTTTCAATATTTTGACCCCAAGTGTCCTGCATATTTTTGTACACTTCTAACTCTCAAACTTCACTTGTAGTTTATCCATTGGGCCACATAGCATGCAAATCATGAAATGTTCATTGATTAGTGAATTTATTCAATTATGCATTTTGCATTTTCTTTTTTTTTGAAAATATCTTTTTGGTTCCAATGCCATGTTATGAAACATTTTGCATTTTTCTTTTCACTGGTTATAAGTACAATATATTTTGAAAAAAGTTATCAAAAAAAATATATTGAAAAAGTGAATGCACAAAAACAAAATCGTGGAAACAAAAAATTGTTACATGAATAAGATAGAGACTACAAATCTCACAAAGGTATAGTACACTTCTCTATAGATTTTACTTGTCTTCACGCATTTCTATACTTCTTTGCAAAAAAAGAAAGTCTGTGCACCTACTCTTTGCAAAAAAAAGAAACAAAAAATAAGTTACATGACTGTCACTGATTTAGGAAACTTCAAAATGATATGCGTTTTATAAAAATTACATGACTGCCACTGATTTTGGAAACTTCAAGATGATTGTAAGAACTATAGGTCGGTTTGGAAACCAAAATGCAATTTTATCATGTGGTGTTAGTGGTGGACATATGAAAAATATAACTCTTGCTAATGGGATGAAAGCCAGTCTTTTCTATAATCCAATACAGATACCCAGTTCTTCTTTAACTTCCCAAGAGGTTATCAAACATAGAAACCAAAAACTTCTTCACTTCCCAGAAGATTATCAAACACAGAAATCAGGAACTTCTTAAATTCACAGAACTTAAGAACTTCCAATTTATAGTTCCTGAACTTGCTTCCAATTATCAAACATGCCCTTAGGGTGATGATTGACTTTCTAGGAAAGCCCTAAAGATACGAGAGAATGCTACAAATAGCAACAACATTGGGCGCTTTCCCCCCTCTCTTAGGTATGAAACGGTAGTATATGTTAATTTCCCTTGAAAATTCCCCATCCAATCCAAATTTTCGGATGCTCCTACTTAAATCATTTGCCCTCTAGAGTAAATGTAACTTCTAAGAGGAAAAATCATTGGTTTAAAATTGTCATGTCCAAATTGGGAGTTGATTTCTATTGACCAGGTTCCTTGTTGGATATAAGAAACGGTTAGACTCAAATGGATTCACCCAATTCTGTCAGAGAATTGGACGAGTTTGTAAGGAATATGGGCGATTTGGATTGGCCAAATCACCTAATTCTGATCAATTATATTATTTTATTATTTTCCTTTGTACTTTTCCATAACAAATTTTCTTTATTTTTATGGATTGATTCTCATACTAAATCAATCTTGAATGGCCGATCCGGATGACGATTCACCGATCCAAACTAGATTTCTAGAATATTAGTTCACCCAAGCAGTCCTGCCCTCGAAAAATGAAGGAAGGGTTATTGGATATCCAGAGGAAATAATAATGTAACTTTTACATGATGTGATCGATTTGTTTGTTTTGTCTTCATAATTGACCACCAATGCAATAAGAAACCTTGAATTTTGGATTCCAATCAATGTAATAATATGTTTTAAGTACTTTTTTGTTCCTTGAACACGGAACTTGGGACTCGAAGGCCTAACTCCTAATTATCAAGAAATTAAAATAAATTCCCCATCTACCTTTCAAATTTATATTCACCACTAAAAGAAAGTAAGTGGGATTAAATAAAGCAATAATACTACATTTATTGAACACAGTCAGTGTGTTTTGTTTACAAGATAACTTCAGTTGCAATAAGAAGGGAAAACCAAGTGGGTGCAATTCTTCATCCCAAATGCGTGAAAATTCATTGCCGATTCATAATTCAATTGGGAAACTCGTAACAAAAAGCAAATGCATTAGACCTGGTCAAGCATCCATTCGAATAATGCATCGTAGACCTTCGCCTTGGAGCATTAAATCGAAAGCCTTGTTTATATCCTGGAAACTCACCTCATGGGTAACAAATCCCTCCAATTGAAGCTCCTAAACAACAACGATACATGTAATGAGTATCACTTCCAATTCATTATACTCTCTCTCTTTAAATTGACTATATAGTCACTCTCTTTTTTCTTTTCCTTTTCTATAAATATGTTTTTATATATAGCCTTTGGGCTTATTGCCATAATATGGAGTCTCCAGTTACCCTTAAGAAAATAATACATATATATATATATATATGGAAAAGTCTTCCCAACGCCTATATGTGTGTGCATGTGTGGTTTGTATAGAGCCAAGGCTCAGTAGAGCGCATCTTCAAATAGAGTAAAAAAATGTGGTTTCAATACTGGAAATATTTATGATAGTCTTAAAATATATATTCATATCTAATTCTAAAATTTAAAGCTTTAAAAACAGTTTAGATTGAGCAGATCTATGAAAACTTGATAAACTTGAAAATTGACGGTAAAAAAATGCATTGCAAGATGCATTATTTACAAAAATTGAAATTCTTTTTTTTCTCATGTCCATGTATTTTGATATCGAGATGATCAAATTGAGTATATTTGAGCATCAAAATAACCTCTTCTAGCAAAATTTTTTAGGTGCACTCTAATTTAATTGTTTAGAGCCTTGGCTCTATATAAACGTTTTCTAGATATAGGGCAAAGACAGTGTCAGCCCTCTAGCTAATAGAATAGTGTATGCCCAACAACCGAAATTGAGTATGGCTGGATCTGATGGTCATGATAGTAATTTTGTATTTTAATTATAATATTTTATAAATTCAAATCACTTAAAAGTGTAAAAGCCCAATGTTCTCATCAAGGCGCACTTGATAACAAAATTAAAAACATTATTCGTTCAAATCCGATGACCAAATATCCTATAACTTTCAAGGGTATTTTGGTCAATTTGTTTTAAATTATTTTATAATTTTTATTAGGTTCGTTTATTTTTCAAGAGTAGATGCTTAAAATTTCAAGTCAATTAGATTTGTAAAAAATAAAATAAATAAATAAATTGAAATATGAAATGAAATAATGACCATTGGATCAACTTATATTTGATCTAAGTCGTTGGGCGTTTACTGTAACTGTCAGCTAGCAATCAAATATCATAGTCTGCCTATGTATACACAAGAACAAAAAGTTGTGGCCTTGCAATTATGGAACTTAGGGCCAGCAACAAGCTAGGCCAGGACAACCCTGGCCCCAGCTTAGACCTGATCTGGTAGAGCCAATGCAAGGTTGCCTAGACCCAACAAGGCCAAAGAGCCATTGGCCCTAGCCTGGCTCTGCCCTATCAAGGCCAAGATGGGCCAAGCTCAAATGCAAAAGGAAAAAAAAAATATACATAGAAAGAAAGGGACAGGCTGGGTTGAATGGGGCTGTCCTGGCCCAGCCGTCAGGCACATGTTGTGGCCCACGTCCTAACTTTTTGGGGAAGGGCCAGGTCTGGTTTCCAGGTCCATTTCCACCACTGTAGAGCTCTTAGTCACTTCTGCCTAGAGCTCATTGTCAGAGACACTATCCAAATTAATCGTCTCTGCCCCTCTAAATTGATTATGGCCCCTCTGTCTCTCTTTCTATTTGTGTTTTTGTAGGTCATAGTGTACATGTTCACCTTTTTAAGATATTTGTTTGCCAAAAGGGGGATATCGGACTTAGGTTTGATTCCTCCAAACAGGGAACCCATCACAGTTTTTCCCTTGAGGATCTCAATTGAGCTGATAGATATGGGAGCTCCGTGCATTTCTACTCCCAATATTATGGTCTTTCCCCAACCCTGGAAGTAAAAAGAAAGAAAAGTAACCCTCTGGTTAGAGATGAGCATCTTTAGCTTCCTATGTTCCTTACCACAATTCAGTGTTGTAAAAATATACACGAGAAAAATAATTTGCAGTAATACAAGGGAAGACCATCAAATTTCAGACTTTTCATCCCAAAGTTTAGCATGGCGCTGCCCAAACTGGACTTAACTCAGTTGTGTGCAGCTAAAAAGTTCATTAATTACCTTTAATTTTTGCTCCATTTCAAACTTGAACTCCCAAATCCATATGTAATTCCAGTTAGCCGGCATTAGCCACACTAATTTAATCACTCATTTTCATGTTTAGGTGTCAAGTAAAATTCATATTGCTGATAAGTTTGAATTGAGCACCAAAAGTATAAAGCTGCAAGTCCCTTCAAAGGGTATTGAATGACTGGTGGTAACATGTCACTTCAACTTACCGGCCGACTGCTAAGGAATGCTTCACTCATGAGGGAAGCCAGGCCGACACATTCAAAACAATAGTCAACACCACCATCAGTCATCTCTCTTATGACCTGCCACCCACCCAAAAGGGATTTTATAGCTGAAGATTGAATGGAGAATTGGTTAATATCATTGTTTCATTATGAATTGCATGTAGGAGTCACAAGATTTACCTCATGCACTGGTTTGTCACCACATTCTTTTGGATTGATAAAATCAGTGAGCCCATAAACCTGCCCTGCATAAAGAAGAAGGAGAATGAAAAGCATACCACAAAATGCTGAGTGAACAGAGCAATGATATCGGTGAATCTTTCCATGAAATTGTTATGCCATCCATGAGGTGATGACGTATGCATTGAGCATTACAAAAAATGGAGCATTACAAACATTTCTAAATGGAAAATTGTAAACGATACTGACCAGCCAAGCCAACAATGTAATTTGGACTGAAAGGGTGATGTGATATGAACCATGTCCAAAATTATGGTTTCCTATAATCTGCAATGGATTTGGAAGAATGTGAGCTCTTACCAAGTTCAAACTTTTGAGGATTAAGATCAACCCCAATAATCTTCGATGCCCCCTGTATTCTTGCTCCTTCTGCAACCTGAAACAAATGACATGTATGCGCAACGCATCACCAAGCCTCTCAGCAAAATAAAGAGAGCATTAGGAGAAATTTCTGAATGAAATTGGGTTTGAATTCCCTTTTACAATGAGATAAAAGAAGGCCCATAAGTACAACCTTTAAATGTTTCCATAGAATAAAAAGAGTGGTTTGGTCACAACTTACTGCGAGTCCCACCGTTCCTAATCCGAAAATGACCACTGTGGATCCTGCTTCAACATTTGCCACTTTCCAAGCAGCTCCCACCCCTAATTTTCACCATTTACCAAAATTAAACGTTGTTCACATACATAATGTGTGCTAAGGAATGAATCCATGGGGTGAATTCAATTAGGGAATGAGGATCATTCGTATCAGGTGAATGAGGATCATAGAAAACGCCAATTAATCACTCCTGCCCGATCCAAAATGGCGGTGAGCTTGTTTTGGTGTACCATATGGGGTGCGGTTGTGTGCATGTTTGCGGACCATGTTTGTGACCCAGGACAAAATCCCTAGGGGGCAAATCGGTACGGTTCTGGGTTGGGTCATTTACAGCCCTACTTTCCCTCTAATAATGGTACAGTGGCGATCCTTGGGTATAGTGGAGTAATCAATTGCGTTATACAGGATGAGTCATGAGACCAATCACATCCGTTAGGTCCTGTCTCAGCAGATCATCCCTCTCTCCATCACTGTACACGATATCAATTAACCCAGACACTTAAGGACTACCATGGTTTTTGATGGTCAATAAGACTGCGATAGTCTTTCGAGAGAGAAGAATAGAGAATTTGACGTACCAGTTGAGATGCCACAGCTGAGGAGGCAAGCCATATCAGGAGGCATATCAGAGGGGATTTTAACGACATTAGCAACATCCACAACAGTGTACTCAGAGAAACTGGAGACACATAGCACATGGTATATGGGTGAAGGGTGGTCGGGGCCACGACTGAGAGCAGAGAACCTGGTGGTGCCAGAACGAATCATGCCTCCAGTGACTTTGAAGATGACCTTGCCGCATATGTTGCTCTTTGGTGATTTGCAGTCTGCGCAGTCGCCGCACTCGGGCAGGAAGAAAGGAACCACCAAATCCCCCTCCTTCACTTCATCCACCCCCTCTCCCACGCTCTCCACCACCCTGTCCCAGTCAACACAGATTTTATAACAAGACACTCAGAGATTCCTACCAAAAAGAGTGAGAGATTGTTATGAGACACTGAGAGATTCCTATCAAAACGAGTGAGCGATTGTTATGAGAGGAGAGGAGATAAGAGTACCCAACGGCTTCGTGGCCAAATATCCGAGGGAAGTCGGGCTGGCCCTGTTATAGAGAGAAAGTCTAACAAGAATTAGAATTTGATTCTTGATAAAAGAAGTGAAGGGGAAGTTAAAACAGAGAATGGGATCAGCACCTTGAGCTGCCAGAAAGTGAAATCGCTGTGGCATAGGGAGGTGCATATGACCTTTATTCGAACTTCCCATTGCTCGGGTGGAGCCACTTCTATCTCTTCTATCACCAGTGCTTCCCCTGGGTTCCAGCATACAGCAGCTGCACTCCCACATAAACTCCATTGTCAGAGCTCAAAACTCATAACAACAAGCTAATTGCCATTAAATCGTTTGAGAGAGAGAAGAATTGAATTTCGATCCCTGACCTTTGCAACGGATGGGTTTGCCCTTCGTTTGCTCCGCCATTTTTGTTGCTTAATCTTTCTCCCACAACCTTCGTTCGCGAGGCGATACACCTCTGAATGGTGCGAGTTTTAAAAGCCCACACATTCCCATCTTGACTCATATTTCCTCCATTTTTGTGGGCCCTACCCATTTATCCTTACCCGATTTCACCCTGCCATTACTAGGGGAAGGAGGAGAGGAGATGCTTCTATGATGGACTTGTTTACTGTCACCTCTCTGTGTTCACACGGCCTTTTCCAAATGGGAGGAAAGATAACAGAGCAGTGTTGGAAAGAGCGGCTCGGCGCCCCAGCGCTCAGCCTACGTCCGAGCCCAGCATGAGTAACTTCGCGTTGGTTGGACCGAATTCTCGCAAGGCAAACAAGGCAAACAAGTGTTAAAAAATAAAAAAAAATACTAAATATCCAAAAAAAAAAAGAAAAAAGAAAAAGAAAATGTGTTCAAAGTAAAATTAAATAGAGGGTGCGGTTTAAATAGAGTCGAGGCTCTAAATAATCAAAATAGAGCCCACCTTTAAATAGTGTCACGTAATGTGGTTTCAATACCGAAATTTTTTGTGATAGCCTTGAAATATATTTATTGATAAAATATATTTTAAAATTTATTTTAAAAAGAATTGTATACAATGAGACCATTTATCTTTGGAACAGAGAGGTCACAATTACATACAACCATCTGATATGAAATTGGATAGGTTGTTGGTTGTGTCACAAAGTTCAAGAAAAATTGTTTTGTACTTTGACTTTGGTCAATTAAATAAATGCAGCCCGACCCAATTTCACATCAAATGGTCAAGATTTATTGTATCTACCTTGTACCAAAGGTAAACAGTCTTATTGTATACTTTCTTATTTTAAAAATAAAAAAATATGTTTTCAAAAAATAAATTTTAAACAGCCACCAATTTGAAAGATAACAATGATTGTTACCTTTATGTACAAAAGATAAATGGTCTCTTTGTAGACAATCACTTTTAAAAAAAAATAATTTGTGATTGAGGTATTCTAGAAATAATTCGAAAAAAGGAAAAATATAAAAATAATTATTTATGACCAAAACATTTTCAAATCTTTGCCAACATGCTTGAATACATAAAAAGAATGAGTAATGATCCTATGAGACCCTCCCACACACATGGCTGTAGGAGGGTCTCATAGGATCATTACTAAAAAGGAATACTACTCATAAATTTTTGTGTTCTGAAATTTTTATATATTTTTAAATTTTTTTTAAGATTTTAGAGGTAGACACCTAACTCAAGGAAACTCATGCTAGTCTAGCAAGTCGGAGCTGGATCGCCCGAGTAATCGAACATTGGCGCCTATCCAAGCGAGTTCGACTCAACCCGTTTATATGAAATATGGTAAGGTCCACGGGAAGTGGAAGTACGAGTCCTGCGTGCTGGGTGGCACAAATAAGATATTCTTAGCTCCGAACTTCAAATTCCTCGACTAATCAGTTGGATTCTTTGAAGGGTGTGGTTTGTAGGCTCTAAACAATCAAAGTAAAGCCCACCTTCAAGTAGTGTCAAGAAATGTGGTTTCAATATTGGAAATCTTTATGAAAGCTTTAAAATATTTTTTATCTTTAATTATAAAATTTAAAGTTTAAAAATAATGTACATCAAATAGATTTATGAAAACTTGAAAATCTTGAAAATTGACGGTCTCAAATGTGTTACAAGATGTACCTTCAAGTAGTGTCAAGAAATGTGGTTTCAATATTGGAAATCTTTATGAAAGCTTTAAAATATTTTTTATCTTTAATTATAAAATTTAAAGTTTAAAAATAATGTACATCAAATAGATTTATGAAAACTTGAAAATCTTGAAAATTGACGGTCTAAAATGTGTTACAAGATATACTATTTTCAATACTTGAAATCTATTTTTTTCTCATGTCCATGCATCTTGATGTCGAGATGATCTATTTGATGATATTTAAGCATCAAAATAACCTCTTCTAATGAAATTTTTGAGATGTACTCTAATTTGATTGTTTAGAGCCTCAGCTCTATATAAACTTTTTCCTAACTGGCGCCTGTCTTGTACTTCACTTGTATCATTCGTAGAAATTGCTCCCTGACTCATTTGTGAAATTAAGAGAAATAATACTTTTGTTTAATGTTAATATTCTCATACCCGGGTTACATCAATCTAGAGAAATAATATTCTTTTTATTTTACTTTCTGTTTATATTATGTTATTCTTTAATAGAGGTTTTCACTAGAAAATATATATTTTTAATAGGTAATGATCCTATGAGACCCTCCCACACCCATGTGTGTAGGACCACCATTAAATTTGGCACAGATCTTTAGAAAAATTAAGTCTCAAACATGTGATAACTTTTCTAGATATCTGTATCAAATATAATAGTGATCATTTGGGGTTCTATACACATGGGTGTGGGAGGGTCTCATAGGATCATTACTCATATTAAAAATGGGAAATGACCCATGTGATAACTTTTTTAGAGATATGTGCCAAATTGAATGGTGATCTTTTAGGGTCCTAGACACATGGATGTGGGACGGTCTCATAGGATTATTACTCTTTTAATATTTTAAGTTCCCCCATAAATTTTAGATAAAGAAAGCTCACTCAATAATATCCCCAATAATGATACTTTTACTAGGAAAAATTATATACATATCCGTTATAGTTTCCATTATTACAGCTATACTGAATAGTTTCCGTTATTACTACCATGTCCGTTTTATTCATGTCAAAACGGAAATTAATAAAAAAAAGACGACTTTACCTTTTTTCAGTTGTTGAACAACCAAATTCAAAGTATTTTACCGAAAATTTTAAATTTTAGGCTCTTCAAGAACCGAAAACTGTTTTCTCCTCTCTTGTGGCATATTTTCTCTACCTCTCTGAAGTCATAGTTATTCGATAAAATCAAAAGGGAACAACTAGCTTGAGCTCCTAAATTTAGGATAAATCTAAGGGATTATGAGATTAGAAGATTAGGAGAAATTTTGTGGCGTAAATCTAAAGGATTATGAGATTAGAAGATTAGGAGAAATTTCGTGGCGTATTCTCTCTCTACCTCTTTGAAGTCATGGTTATTTGATAAAATCAAAGGGGAACAGCTAGTTTGAGCCCCTAAATTTAGGAGAAATCTCAGGGATTATGAACATACCCAAAAAAAAGCTGAGTGAAAAGGAGAGAGATTTTTTTTTAAAAAAAATATTTTTACCCATATAATGTAGAAAGAGAGGTAGAGAGGATATGCAGACCCACAAGAGAAAAAAAAACTCGGTTCTTGAAGAACCTAAAATTTTCGGTTATTCAAGAACTGAAATTGGCCTAATTTTCGATTGTTGAACAACCGAAATACTTGGAATTCAGTTGTTCAACAACCAAAATACTTGGAATTCAGTTGTTCAACAATCGAAAAAGAGTAAAGTCGTCTTTTTTTTTTAATTTACGCTTTGGCATGAAAAAAATAGATACGGTGGTAATAACAGAAACTATTCGGCAGAGCCGTAATAACAGAAACTATAACGAATATGTATGTAATTTTCTCCTTTCACTATGGTGGTAGTTATAAGATAAATATGATTATATTGGGGCCTAGTCACTGTGTTGTGATTTCAATATTCTTATTGTCTGGCCATGGGTACTTACTAGTATTTTATGACTTGGGCTAATTTAATGTTATTTATCTCTTTTAACTATTGGTGCGGTTTATCCAAGTTGGTGGCATTGGAAAAAGTCTACATAAGGTTGCAACTTTAAATGTAGAATTACTGGTGCACCACAAAAATCCATTGAAAAAGGCTGTTTAAAAGAAAGAAAACCCTCCAATCGATCATCTCGACAACTGATATATATGGATATGGAAAAGAAAAAATATTTTGAGTCCCAAAAAGGGTGCATCTTGCAACACATTATCTCGACCATCCATTTTTAAGATTTTCATATGTTTATACATCTTTTTTATTTTAACCATTTTTAGATTTTAAAATTTTGTAATTAGATATGAAAATAGATTTTGAGATAATCTTAATAATTTTTTATATCAAAATTATATGTTATGATAAAATTTGAAGGTGTGCGTTAATTAGATTGTTTAAGGTGAAACAACCACACCTTTAGTTATTTCTCTTAACTAGATGTGCATTTTATATAAGGTGGTAGCCTTATTTGTATAAGTAAAGTTGTGGGTTCTACACCATTTATTTTATTTTGATGGTATATACTTGACGCGTCTTCCAAAATAGGGTAAGAAAGCGGAGCGTCTATTGTGACGCTGCCAAATGCACATGGTCAAAATGAAACGAACAAGCGTTGCATCGTTACATAAAAGGAAAAAGTTTATATAGAGCCGTGGCTCTAAACAATCAAATTACAGCCTACCTCAAAAATTCAATAGAAGATGATGTTTTGATGCCCAAATATCTTCAAATTGATCATCTTGAAATCAAAATACATGAACATGAGAAAAAAAAAGATTTCAAGTTTTAAAAATAGTGCATCTTATAACGAATTTTGGACAGTCAATTTTCAAGATTTTAAAATTTTCATAGATCTGCTCGATCTACACTATTTTTTAAGCTTTAAATTTTATAATTAAAAATAAAAGTACTTTTTAAAGCTACAACAAAGATTTTTAAGATTGAGATCACATTTCTCAATACTATTTGAAGTTGAGCTTTACTTTGATCGTTTAGAGCTTTTTCCATTAAAGTAGAGGAGGCTTGCGTGCATCATCACCACACGAATAGAATAGTCGTGAGATTAGATAAAAAAACAAAACAAATAGAAGACTTCGCAATAACCCACCCTTGCGACGACCATCACAAGGGCAGGAGTAGGGGCCATGCGATCTATTTTTTAAGCATATTTGTCGCTATAAAGACAAATTGACTTCATCTTCCACAGGCCAAAATATTTGTGCTCTTGTGAGAGTATATTATTTATTTACTCTTTTCGATAAAATCTAATTTAGGATTATGTTTAGGATATTGAAATCAGGGATGTAATCACTTCAACGTTTAGACTAATCTCAATACTTTGTTCTTCTTCTTCGTTTTTTTTTCCTTTTAAATTAAACTTTATGTGTATGACAAAATTATAATGTGTCAAGATTTAATAGATACTGTCAAATTCTTGAAGGGTGAGATCTAAGTTTTACAGAACTCGAAGCCTAATTTTTTTTTTTCCAGAAATAATCAGCTAGCGATTATTAGGTGGTTATCAAAATTTGAGATCGAAAAGGAAAAAAAATCTCCCCAACAAGTCTTTTGTCCAAGGGAGTACATGTATAATATACACCTGCGAGAGCATATTGCTAGTAGAGAATCTTTCAATAATCGTTTTTTAAATTTGGGGA